GTGAACAACAGTAAGTACACATGTATATATATATATATATATATATATATATATATATATATATATATATATATATATATATATATATATATATATTATCTGTATATATATTATCTGTATATACAGGGGTTTTGTAACGTTTTACAAAGTACATATGATTAATAATTGGGTTCGCTTAGGTTTGCTTCCTAGCAATTACGTTATTAATATACAATCTAAACAAACTTTATGAGCCATGACACTTAAAGTAGAAACTGCCTGAAATTCAGTACATACGAGGGTTGTCCCATAAAATCGTGGACAAAGCGTTTTTCTCGAAAAGTAATGGGCGCACTAAGCTGAAATTTTCAGTAAATGTTTATTCATCATATTCAAGTGAATCATAATGTTTTTGATAATATATATTCAAATAGTTGCACATTTTTTTGCATAACGGGATATGTTGCGTTATTGTCAAATAGGTGTACTTTTATACATGTGTAAAACCATAACGCTACAGTTCTGCGACTACTTCAAAGATAAAATGTTTAAGAAATGTTTACGATATCTGATGAAATATCATACAGTCATATATTAATATATTCGTGAACAACAGTAAGTACACATGTATATATATATATATATATATATATATATATATATATATATATATATATATATATATATATATATATATATATTATCTGTATATATATTATCTGTATATACAGGGGTTTTGTAACGTTTTACAAAGTACATATGATGAATAATTGGGTTCGCTTAGGTTTGCTTCCTAGCAATTACGTTATTAATATACAATCTAAACAAACTTTATGAGCCATGACACTTAAAGTAGAAACTGCCTGAAATTCAGTACATACGAGGGTTGTCCCATAAAATCGTGGACAAAGCGTTTTTCTCGAAAAGTAATGGGCGCACTAAGCTGAAATTTTCAGTAAATGTTTATTCATCATATTCAAGTGAATCATAATGTTTTTGATAATATATATTCAAAAATAAAGAATTTATTCTGCTTGAATGTGCACAAGGTACGGTCTTACGGCGCACGGTAAAAATAGCAAAGTTATATTAGAGAAGACACAAGAATTAATTAATAATAAAAGTTTTCAATAATTAGGATTAGGATGAAAATTATCCTAATTCGATTCCTAAATCAATTCTGTCGTCTTTTTAAAAATTTTAAAGCACTTGGTTAATTTTTGGCAGTTTCCCGAGCATTTGAAATGGGAAAGTAATAAACACAATACACGAGAAATGGCGACTTTTTATGACGTTATGGCGCACCGGAGAGCAGTTCAGATAGATAAGGATGTTGTAATGACGCCTTAAGAGACTTTAAATGAATACAGAAGAAAAAAATATGAAAAATATCACCAGATCTTTAGTATATAAATGAAATGAAAGTTTTCAAAGTGAAGTCTTCGTGGTCGTGTCCCCAGATAGTACAAAACATATGGACAGACTGCCATTTGGACTCTGCCACTGTCGACCGTCGATGTGAGATTCTCTTTTAGTTGAATGATGGTAAGAATACTGTCTGTAACTTGCTAATAAATATTCAGAGATCGCATAAGTGTGTCACATTGGTTTCTTAACTGGTTATAGATACTCACATATGTAAATCAATAAAATTTCTGAATTTAAAGTGAGGCGTATCAAACTTTAAGTTCAGCAAAGCTGAAACTTGACGCTGATTTAGACACTTTGACGTTATCATCCGTGCGCCGTAGGGCGATACAGTATATAACATAAAATATCACAATTTGTTTACCTATGCAAATATCTATTTTAAATTTGCTATGTATATTCATAATTTATCTACTAAAAAGTGGTGAAAATTTCAGAACGCAGTGATGATTATTTTTCAAACTAGACAACTTGTCCACGATTTTACGGGACAACACTCGTATATACTTTTTCCTTGGTCCTTTCGGGTTAATGATTAGCAAACTAAATAAAAACGAACTATAACAGAAGAATCTCCAATATTTTATCAAACCGATGACCAAACCTATTACCTTATCCCTGTAGCTGCAGACTGATTGGTTTAACTAACAGTTCTGTGTTTTCCTACACAGTCTACAACTACCTAAAACACACTATTAAAATCACAGAGTCACAGAAACATCTTAAGATACCCGGACACCAAAGCTATCTACAGGACACCGTATTACTTTTGGTTAGACACAAGCTAAAGTCACCGAAGATATCATAGCTATCTAAAGGACACCGTATTACTTTTGGCTAGACACAAGTTAAAGTCACCAAGACACCATAGCTATCTAAAGGACACCGTATTACTTTTGGTAAGGCACAAGTTAAAGTTATCGAAGACACCATAGCTAACTAAAGGACACCGTATTACTTTTGGTAAGGCACAAGTTAAAGTTATCGAAGACACCATAGCTATCTAAAGGACACCGTATTACTTTTGGTAAGGCACAAGTTAAACTTATCGAAGACACCATAGCTATCTAAAGGACACCGTATTACTTTTGGTAAGGCAAAAGTTAAAGTTATCGAAGACACCATAGCTATCTAAAGGACACCGTATTACTTTTGGCTAGACACAAGTTTAAGTCACCAAGACACCATAGCTATCTAAAAGACACCGTATTACTTTTGGTAAGGCACATGTTAAAGTTATCGAAGACAACATAGCTATCTAAAGGACACCGTATTACTTTTGGCTAGACACAAGTTAAAGTCACCAAGACACCATAGCTATCTAAAGGACACCGTATTACTTTTGGTAAGGCACAAGTTAAAGTTATCGAAGACACCATAGCGATCTTTAAAATACACCGTATTACTTTTGGTTAGACACAAGTTAAAGTCACCAAGACACCATAGCTATCTAAAGGACACCGTATTACTTTTGGCTAGACACAAGTTAAAGTCACCGAAGACACAATAGCTATCTAAGGGACACCGTATTACTTTTGGTAAGGCACAAGTTAAAGTCACCAAGACAACATAGCTATCTAAAGGACACCGTATTACTTTTGGTAAGGCACAAGTTAAAGTTATCGAAGACACCATAACTATCTAAAGGACACGGTATTACTTTTAGTTAGACACAAGTTAAAGTTACCGAAGACAACATAGCTATCTAAAGGACACCGTAGTATTTTTGTAAGGCACAAGTTTAAGTTATCGAAGACACCATAGATATCTAAAGGACATCGTATTACTTTTGGTAAGGCACAAGTTAAACTTATCGAAGACAGCATAGCTATCTAAAGGACACGGTATTACTTTTGGTAAGGCACAAGTTAAACTTATCGAAGACACCATAGCTATCTAAAGGACACCGTATTACTTTTGGTAAGGCACAAGTTAAAGTTATCGAAGACACAATAGCTATCTAAAGGACACCGTATTACTTTTGGTAAGGCAAAAGTTAAACTTATCGAAGACACCATAGCTATCTTAAGGACACCGTATTACTTTTGGTAAGGCACAAGTTAAAGTTATCGAAGACACCATAGCTATCTAAAGGAAACCGTATTACTTTTGGTAAGGCACAAGTTAAAGTTTTCGAAGACAACATAGCTATCTAAAGGACACCGTATTACTTTTGGTAAGGCACAAGTTAAAGTTATCGAAGACAACATAGCTATCTAAAGGACACCGTATTACTTTTGGTAAGGCACAAGTTAAACTTATCGAAGACACCATAGCTATCTAAAGGACACCATATTACTTTTGGCTAGACACAAGTTAAAGTCACCAAGACACCATAGCTATCTAAAAGACACCGTATTACTTTTGGTAAGGCACAAGTTAAAGTTATCGAAGACACCATAGCTATCTAAAGGACACCGTATTACTTTTGGCTAGACACAAGTTAAAGTCACCAAGACACCATAGCTATCTAAAGGACACCGTATTACTTTTGGTAAGACACAAGTTAAAGTCACCAAGACAACATAGCTATCTAAAGGACACCGTATTACTTTTGGTAAGGCACAAGTTAAAGTTATCGAAGACACCATAGCTATCTAAAGGACACCGTATTACTTTTGGTTAGACACAAGTTAAAGTCACCAAGACACCATAGCTATCTAAAAGACACCGTATTACTTTTGGTAAGGCACAAGTTAAAGTCACCAAGACAACATAGCTATCTAAAGGACACCGTATTACTTTTGGTTCGACACAAGTTAAAGTTACCGAAGACACCATAGCTATCTAAAGGACACCGTATTACTTTTGGTTAGACACAAGTTAAAGTCACCAAGACACCATAGCTATCTAAAGGACACCGTATTACTTTTGGTTAGACACAAGTTAAAGTCACCAAGACACCATAGCTATCTAAAGGACACCGTATTACTTTTGGTTAGACACAAGTTAAAGTCACCGAAGACACCATAGCTATCTAAAGAACACCGTATTACTTTTGGTAAGGCACAAGTTAAAGTCACCAAGACAACATAGCTATCTAAAGGACACCGTATTACTTTTGGTAAGGCACAAGTTAAAGTTATCGAAGACACCATAGCTATCTAAAGGACACCGTATTACTTTTATTAAGGCACAAGTTAAAGTCACCAAGACACCATAGCTATCTAAAGGACACCGTATTACTTTTGGTAAGGCACAAGTTAAAGTTACCGAGACAACATAGGTAGTCACAAAGACACTACAAAACTAGGTCCCTGAGCTGAGTGGTCTAACTATTAGTTCTGTTGTTTCCCGACACAACCAAGGAACCTAAGCCAGGTCAACTAACTCTATCAAAGAATTACACAGAAAGTAAACGAAACTAGATCGATCCCTGAATTTAAACTATATTAGCATCTGTTCAATAAGTACTGATTGATTTTATAATTCTAATCATTTGGTTGGCTAAAATGTAAATTCTGATTGGCTACACATAAAAAATCTAACTCGATGAAACGGAACCTTTTTCAATCCATTTGACTAATTCCGTTTCATTACAATTTTCTGCTTCATTAAAATGTTATCGGTCTACAAATAATTTTGAAAATGTCTTACTGTTTGTCCTGCATGTATTTGTCTTTAGCTTTTTGATCTCTTCTGAAAAACAAAATCAATAATGAATGCAAATGTGTACATGGATAATTTTCTGAAAACAAAATGAGATTAGGTACTTTAAAATTAATGTACTTATGAAGTATTCAAAACGGTTTTACAATGCCATGTTTTTAATCATGGTCACAATTATGTAATATTTCAAATATCTTACTTTTCTTGACAGCTATTTTACCTGTAAAATTAATTGGATCATACACAATTATTATATTGTTTGATAAAAATGTGTAAAGTAATCTTAAAGGTGTAATATTTCTTTATTTTGATTTAAAAGTCCAGAAGATGTTTTTTTCAGTGAGATTTTATAAATGAAGTAAGCACAACATTCAGGTATGTAGAATATGAAATATATGAAATATATTGTTGGAAATTCTGTTTGTTTTGAGAAAATATGAATTTCATGATCAAAATTGATACGAATATTTAACATTAAAAATACAAAGCTCACGTTTTGCTGTCCTTGTTTTACTTTCAAGGCATTCAATTCTTTCTGTATGAATTAATTCATTAATTTCAAGTCTGGTAAATATTTTTCAAAAGAATAGGCTATTATCATTAAATAAAAAAGTACATTGTATGTTGTAATTATATGTAGCTTTTCTTTCTCACTTATCTGATAAGTGCAGTTCAGAAAAAGGGTGTTTTCTTTCAATTTATTCTAACAACCCATTTTATTGATATCTTTGCATGACTTGTCAATTTAATTGAAACATACCTTGTTTTATCTGCATATTTTCTGTCAAGATAATTGAATGCTATTAAGTTAAAGTTCAGAAGAAACACAAATGTTTTTTTTTAAATTTTGAATTACTAAGAAGATAATGATATTTGTAAATTAATACACAATCATGATTAATACCATGTATTTTCTTAAATTCTTCAACATAGAGCTTGGATCTTCCTGGGTTCAGATCACAGGATAACAACTCGTTTACGCCTCTCTCATACATGTCCCCACCGACACACTGTTTTTCAATTTCTATGATGGCGTCTTTGAGTTCGTCCCAGTGCTCTTGAAACATTATGTCATCCACAGCAGCAGTGACACAATGACCGGAGATTAAATTTCTCTGGATTCTGATCCTTTCTATGCAGGCCGATAATCTTTTATCACCATTGAGGGGAGGATTTCCCCATCCGGCTCGATGTTTGGGTATGTTACAGATGTTCCTCAATATGATATACAATACAGAGATGTCCAGGTCTTTAGCAGTCAGACTAATTGAACCGGACGCCTGATAGATCTGTTCTTTCTGTTGAGCATTCATAATTCTCTCCAGCCTCGTTCTGTTGTTGTCCAGCTCTGACCTCAGGTCAGCTGGATTGATGTAACGACCTAGAATGTCCCTGAACAAGTCGCTACAGATCGTCATGATTAGCTGACACAGACGGGAGAAGTTCTCTGTTGCCTTCCTTTGATTGAAGTAAGGAGCTGTAGAGGGCCCAGGAACGTCACCCATTACTATAATCAAATAATAAAACAAAGTGTGTGACGAACTTTTGTTATATTATATTAATACATTGTCTAAGCGATTACTTAAATAAGATTTTGATTTCACTTTGCTTGGCATAATTCCTCTCTTTGAGCTTCTATATAAGCGTCAGACACAATTTTTTAGTGTATATTGTTTTAAAATTTCGCCTGTAAAGACATTTTCTTCATCGTCATGGTGATTTACTCAGCCGCGAACACATATATATATATATAATATATATCAACAAGCGAATGCAATGCAGAAAAAAAAGAAAACACGGGGAATATATGTCATCGATGCATTACAAAGTCTTAAAAAACACAAGTTCCAATGAAGTTAGATATGAAAACAAGGAAAAATTTGATCTACATGAACACACACTGGTGAGGAAAATTTGAGGTGTTTACAAACCCCCTTGCTGATACCGGTACATGTATCTGTGACTGTATGACTCTAGTTAAATCGAAAGAAGTTTTTAATTGATTTAGCTAAATGTTAGATTAACGATTAAACGATAATTATTGTCAAATGAAAAGCAGATACTACGTTGTCTTGGAAAGGAATGGCGTTTTTCTGGCCCAACCCTCTTACCAACGTCAAAATATTCCGCCATATTTTATGCTATTCCTTCAAAAAATGAGACTTACAGAAGATGCAACCCTTCACAAAAAAGTATCTGAAGTTACGTTTTCTGCATTCAATCATATTTTGACTTTATGTCAAACAAGTAAATCATTTGATTTCTCCTTAAGTGGAAATCGGTCAAGAACACCTTTTGTTAGGGTGTACATAAGATTATGAGAAACAGAGAAAGTCCTGGTTCGACTCTTGTTTGCCGAAACACACTAAATCTAGGACATGAATATAAGTATTGATTGTTCTTTCGCCAAGCATCTGGCGTTAGATGTGAAGGTCACTGATCTTTCAAAGGAGAACTCAAAAGCGAGGCCCCGTGACATGGTAGGCTTTGTAACGATAAAGAACACTCACTACTATACTACTCTGATAAGTGCCAAGAATAGATCTTAATTCAGGACCCTGCACCGGGGTACAGTGAAATATTGTGAGCTTAAATATTCTCGTTAAACAGCATATAATCAATCTTTAATGTAATGTCATGACAGCTATACAGATTTTCTTGAGTTGGACAATGTGACTCGGTTGAAGAAATGTTTTCAAGTGACACTTTAAATTGATAATTCCATTTCGTTTCCGGCGTTTTACCGAATTATAACAACAAACCAGTGGCGGATTCAGGATCCTTATTTGTCATAAATCGTAACTCGCCCATCTACATACAATTTATTTTTCTTCTTAAAAATATGTCATACCAACGACAATTTAATTTTACACTCTTCTTATCAAAAGTGAAAAAAAATCTAAAAAAAAAAAAATAGTCACATAACATGTAACGTATAAGAAATGACCATTTTTATTGATTTGTCCAGATATTCAATTTATAAAGGATAGAATACTATATAGGTAAATAGATAATAGATAATAATTTTCCGAAATTCTTCACAATTTTATTTCGACATTTTTTTTTATTTGTGACATTTATTTTTTTTTATTTCAGGGATATTTGCAAGTAATTCTTGGGTTATTCAATGTTAAGGAATAAGGCAATTTGATCTCGTAACGAACCAGGTCCGAGTTGATCTTTAAAAGGCTATTTTATTTCTTTAACTTATGAGCAAAACTTCAAAACACTTACATGGACCTCAGGAAAAAAATCAATTATTTTCTCCTCATTGACAAAGAAACATTTATCATTTCTTTAATGATTTATTTATGATATATTCTTTAGTGAATATACAAAATGCCAAATTCATGCAAGTAAATGCGCCACTTTTCTCTGCGCTAATAAAGCATTAAAAATATAAATAGGTTATTCGGCAAGAATTTAAAAAGACTTGCACTGTGACACAGCAGTATTACAGAGCAATGGCCGCCGCCGCTAGGTGGCGCTGGCGGTAAGTTTCCCGCAATCACGAAAAGTTGACCTCGTTGCGCCTAGGATTTTTCCCGGTCTTGTACGATAAAACCTGAGGCTAAAATACGAAAGTAATGGTGCGAAACTAAAGTCAAGAGTTCTAATTTGACATATATGATATTTATAGAAAGCACATGCTAAGAAAATGGCAATTTATCGATATTTAAAGTAAGAAAATAGGTGGGAAAACTAGAAATCGGCAATATACGCAGATTTTACGGTCATTTTTGAGTAATTTGATCTATTTTAAGCTTTAAACAATACGAAGATAATAAGTATTTGCTCGGATAATAATGTAAAATCGATGTTCAATCTGGTAGGGTCAAACGAACAAGAACGATAACTCTAATGTTTTTAAATCCGAGGAAAATAAACAAGGCATTTCATCGCTGATTTTTTTTCTGTTCAGTACGTTTTCCTGTTTTTATCCTCGAAAAATTTATTTTTGATTTATAAACACATGAAAATATGTCATTCACTCCTTTAATGATATTATCTTGCAAACTGTAAAGACCGACAATTCTGTGTATCTCAAAACTCTTGCACTTGCAAAGTTGTAGAACGAGTCTTTGTCAATTTATTTTGAAAGTTGAATCACAGGAAGAACTTCAAGACACTTAAGTCAGTTATGTGTAGCTTACACCTTTGTCATAATAAATTTCTATATGCTCTGCAAATTGATAAATTATAAATATAATTTAATTAATTTAAACATGTTAAATGCTAAGGTTTAAGTTGAATATGTCTAATGCATATGCAACATATTTTGAATTAAAATGTCAAGTAAACTGTAATTGCAGACCACTTTTTAAAATTCTTTTTTTAGGAATTTATTGAGAAAAATCAGCCAACTCCTGAAACTAGTGAAAGTCATTTACTATTTTTCATTGTCATTTGTGATTTTTTAAAATTTTTATTTCAAATTTAGCAGAAACCCTCATACTAAAGTTGAGACATTCAAATGAATATGGATATCATTTAAAGAAGATAAAGAAAACATTTTCTTCTGCACTTGAGAATAATAATTATTCTTTCAATACCTTTTAATCATTTCTTTTTATTCTTTTCCAAATTTTATTTGTTTTGTAAATAGAGGATATAGGAGAGAGGACAGTGGTTCTAAAAGAAATATAATAAATGTAGATTTTATATAGTTTTAAATTTTATAAAAACACAGTTTTGTAAACCACAATTTCATAAACCTTTTCATCAATGTCAGGGATTGTGAGCATAAGCATAATGAAACTGTGTAGACTTTAAACAAGAATATAATGTAACTTTCCATGTATGGTAGACAGTGTACGATAGAGTTCTTCATAGAACTGAAGAAAAGTTGTGTATTTTAATATAGTTAGACTATGTATATACAATTTGATTTAACAGTATATTAAAATATATTTCAACATTTGTCCCAAATATTTGTTCATTTAGCAATATTTGGACAAGGAAGCAACATTCATGATTCAATGCAATGAACAGATGATGGTTATAAAAACCCCAATCTTATTTACTATTTTGTTTCAGACTTATTAATTTCAACTAAATCTTGTTTATCAAAAATTTAATTAATTGCATTACATAAACTTTAATATTTTTCACATTAACAATGAAACATTTGAAGTTTGCTTAGATCAAGATCAGGATCAAACCATAAGATAAACCAATGTAAACCGTAATCTGAAATCAAAAATTAAAATAACTTCTAAAATAAGGAAATATATGTTTAATATGTTAAACCAATGTTGAAAAACATACAAAAGCAGTTTTACTGCATTTAATTATAAAATTTTACTAGCGTGTACTCTAAAGTACTGTATCTTACAAGCGTACTCTGTTTTGTAGGACAGTAAGGTGAAAGAGGGTAGGTGTGTTTATCAGTATTTTAAGACTATAAAAATTCTCATTTTCAATAAATTAAGTTCATATTTAGATTAAACACACCTTAAAAATGTTAAATAGACATTTAGTTATCTTTTATTTGATAAAGTTTCTTCAGTATAATGTGAGGTCAGATATTTTTAAAAGTCAGAAAATTAGCTAATTGAAATTGCGAGGGGGTACCTATGTTTGCCAGTTAATTGCGGTGCAATGGAAAGAGATACAAGAAAATGGTTGTCAATTTTGAAATCAGCATGATTAAATTGATGGGAATGTGAGGAAAAAATCTGAAAAAAGACTGTTTTTTTTTTAAATTTACCCCCTGATGCTATTTATTTCTTGTGTTGACAGAGCATTTACTTGATATTAAAACTACGGAGGCATTTCTTTAAACGTGTTAAATAAATCATGTTAAAGATTTACCTGTTTATTGTTGTCCTTCTTTACATTAAAGGAACAAACTTCATTGATGTCTGCACATTTTACTCATATAACGATATAAAGTAAAAATCTTTCCTGAACAAATTGAAAGCTAGGAAATACCCCGAACTAAATTTAGACGCGTGATTGTCGGGAATTACTTTTAACTATGGAAGCTTATTTGGTAGATATTTGTATGAGAAAAATCGTTTTATTTCATTGTATCCAAAACAATTTCAAAAGGAATTTGAAGAAAATGAAAGCCTTGAAATAGTATAACTAATACAAAATATCATCGAATTATATGATGCTGCTCTTGTTTCACCACAGAGAATTTTCAGTCGAAAATATTATGTGTACATGCATGTATGTATCTAAATTTATTTTTGTATTGTGAAAAATTTGTGAAACATTATTTTGCAGAATATCAAAAATTTGAAGGGAAACTGTGAGTATGAATTTTATTTATAGAAGAAGAACCCAATAATGTTATACAAACCAGATATTAGAAATAATGATAAATTAGAAGTGATTTATGGAGCTTTGCAAAGAACCTTGAAGCACATTGAGAGGCATATAATGAAAATTGTTGCATGAAAATATTTAAGTGTCAAGCTTCATTTAAAGACTTTTTGAATTATGAATTATAAAATAAAGAGTTTCAGTCGCAGTCCCTTAAGGGTGCGCGCTAAAC